TTATGAAGATTGAAGTCTCCCCTTTGCAACTTGTGTCATTTTTCCATCACTTTATCGGAGATTAGGATTAAAAGAACCCATGAAATCCTAACACTTCAATAAAATGCTGGAGAAGAGTCGCACGGTGAGTTTCAAGGGGTCGTTGCAAACAGAAAATTTCAATCTCTAAACGTAACCTAAATCTAACCTAAACCATGGCAGATTTAGCCACGAACAGAATTCTTTCTAACGTCATCCCACACGCATTTGAATTTCGACAATATATATTAGCAAGAATTGAAACTCTAATCACCGAGATCATGCGCTCAAGTATACTTAGATATACACAGATATAATATTGTTACAAGTTTTTGCGTAGCAATGACGGCTATGTCATCGAAGGTTAGCCAAAAATGAAAGTTATTTTTAACCTATTCTACCATTCGTATTTTTACCATTGAAACTGCACGTGAAACGTTCCAAGCATCTTTCGAGAGATCTCCTTTTCAAGTGATTAAAAAAAAAAAAAGGAAAATTGTAACGGAAATGAAAAAAAAAAAAAAAAAAAAGAAAATACCGTCGTGCTCGCGCTTAAGAGATTAATCGCCTCAATTTGTCGTATAAGGAACGAGGGTAAAAGAAACACTGGTTATCTCTAATTGCCACGGCAAAATTACTAAAAGTCGCTGAAACCGAGGCGAGCTGATTAATTGCATTGATTAAACGGCGTTTCAAGTGGACGCCCGCTGGTTAATTTCCTACGGTGCTGTTTTCATTCAGACAGCTCCTTCTCCACGGAAGCCGCTCCTCCTTCTTCATTAAAAATGAAACGCTCTTCGCTTTCCGTTTTTAAACGCGAGCGACGCGTACGACGACTGTGCGTGCGCACGGTCTACGACTCGGCTAGCTCGAATAGTTCGTCAATGATTCAACGTCACCGGCTAAATCCGATCGTACGCGATCGCGTACTGCACACGAAACCGGAAACGATCTTTTCCTCTTCCACGCGCCATTTTTTTTTTTTTTTTTTTT